TCATCCATCGACGCAATGGATACAGTGCCATATGAACCTACTGCTGTTGTGGAGGACCCGTGTATTTTTTTTGCGGACCAGGGTTGGAAGGTGTCAATATTCGCAGGAATTGATGGCCCCTCCAACACCTCGAGATCCAGATGCAGCAGACAAGATGCCGCCGCCAGAGGTCAGGTTCTTGGACATGTCTCTTTGTTTCTAACGCCTGTCATTGGCGTATTCTTGTCGCGTTTGTCAGGCGCCGCCCACCAAGAAGCAGAAACGCGCTGTTGAGGATGTCATCTTACTTTTCTGTGCAAAGTATGTTCCATGTGACCACTGCTTTCTTTTGGTGAGAGTTTTTCTGAAATGTTCAAGCTGTGGAGAGAGATCAGGTTTGTTCCCTTTTTGCATGTCCCACTTTTTGCGTGTCTTTTTGAGATGCAGGATTCAATCCCGGACATCGAGGACTCGCAAGACCCAAACGAGCTTTGCCACACTTCTTCCAGCGAGTTTGAGTTTGTTTCCACTCCGGAGACTGGGCATGAGAAAGCTCGATCCTGGGATGGACCGTGGAGTTCCCAAGTCTCCAGTTGGGGGAGCAAATGGGGCGATGACTGGGGCGCTTCATGGAGTGGGTATGGCAGTGGCTACGGGGGTTGGCCATCGCACCACTATGCATCAGCCTATGGTTCACCACCGTACTGGTCGGAGTGGGGCTGGGATCAGCCTGGATATGGTGCCTGGAATTGGTGGGGCGATGATGGCTATGCCACGTGGGGAGATGAGACATGGGAGCCAAAGCCAGGCGGGAAGAGCGAGGCAGCGCTTGCCGTTGAGGCACGGTCTGATCATGATTCTGACGTCGAGGTTGTTGAGTTGAAGGTGAGCCCTTCTTGTGCAGAGGAGGTGAACCCTGATTTGCCTCTTCCTTCTCGTGTGGAGGGAGTTGAAGAAAAGGCTGAGAAATCTTGGGAGGAGTTGGCTCGCAAGGCCAAGGAAGCAGCGCCAGCTTTGTCCCAATGTGCCACCGCTGGAAGCCCAGCATTGGATCTCCCCCAACAGGAGGAAAGCTGGGAGGAGTTGGTTCATAGGGTTGGACCGTCGCATGCGCTTTCAGTGCAAATGGAAAGGGAAGCCATGCAAGTGTTGTCTTCTTCCCGAACAGTGATGGCACCAGCTCCAGTGGAGGCAACTATGGCACCGGCTCAAACCTCGCCGCCACAACCTCCATCCCAGGCAGTTCAGGCAGAGGATACTGCGCAGGAGGTGAAGTCTGGTTTGCCTCCTGCTGATGGGGAGGTTTTTGAGCCGGAGGTGAAGGATGCTGCTGACATAGAGGCTGCGGCAGAGTGTGGGGACACGGACATTTCTGACATGAGTATGTCTGACTACTTGGTAGAGCTTGAAGCGGAGCAAGATGCTTTGCTTCAATCTTTGGGTCGACCTGCTGTCCAAAAGGACCACGCATACCGAGCAATTGCCAAACAAAACCGCCAGGCAAAGAGGCAACGCAAGCTGGAACAAGCTGCGCGTGAGGCCACTGAGAAGGCCAGTGGGGTTTCAGAGGATTCAGTGAAGTGGTTGCCTATGACGAAGGATGGGTTTGAACGCTTTTCTTCACAAGCCTTTGGTCAGACCCCGGGCGCTGTTGGCGCAATTGGCAACTCTGCTGAGCCCACGTCTTCAACTACGCTGAAGAGGTGAGGGATCACAGTTTCTTCCAAACCCCAACCTATACAAAAAAACACGTGTTAAGCTTTCCAAATTCCCTTCAACTCCAAAACAAGTCTTAGCCGTGGCAACCTTTTTGTTGAGCTTTGGGTGTCTATAGGTTTCTGTGAGACTAGGTTTCTGTCCGTCACTTTTGTCACACTTTCATGAACAAGACAAGATTGCGCGCGTACATTGTGTGTGCACGAAAATTGCCAGGAAACACGACGAGGGTGATGGCCTAGAAGACCCGTCGCCCAATGACAAGGCCATTGTTTTTGATTCTTAGATGCTCTACTCGTGTTTCGACGTGAACTGGCCTGCAACATGCACTGCCCGATGCCGACTCCACAGCTTTATATAATCTTTGTCATATCTTACTTTAAGTATATATATATATATATATATTTAAGTCTTGATAGTCAGCTTCTTTTCCGCAACTGCCAATATGCGCAGGACAAGTTGGAGCTGAAGGCGGATCCAGTGGAACCAAAGTCCTTGCCAGCCCGGAGCGACGCTCCACCGGTCTTATCCCAAGTCTGATGGTGTCTATGTTGATCGTTCGCCCAAAAGCTCAGGCCTCCTACAAATTGGATCTCCCAGACACACGTCTCGAAGACCCCAAGCACTTGAAGCCGGAAGTCGTGCAGGCGTGCCTAGGGGGGACTCACACACCTATGAACCCTCACGCACAGCAGTTGTTGGCAGCTGCTGCAAGGGCTCCTAAAACCCTTGAGAACAAATCAGATGAAAAGGAAGAGAAAGCAAAGAAAAAACAAAAGAAATCCAAAACGGAAGCAGAACGTGCAGCAGCCACCCCTGTGCCACGGACCAAATACGCGAGCGTCAAGAAGGAGTTCATCGATCAGTCCATTGCTTAAACCTGTTCATGTTTCTGTGTTCGTACTCTTCGCTCGTCTTGAATTGTAGAGCCTGATCAAAATACAACTTGATTAAATGCGCGCTCAACTCCTAGGTTGCCAGATGACATGAGCCACCCCCAGAAAGAGAAAGCGCCCTGAACCCAGGAAGTTCACACCCCTGGAAACTCACCATTCAAAAGAACCAAATGCCTTTGAAGGCTTTTTTGACAGTTTGAAGTTTGAAAAAAGTTCGAGTAGAGCTTCTGCGCGCAGTAGTCTGAGGTGGAAGGAATCTGCCCAATTCTATGCCTTGATCGAAGAGATGGGGGAGACAGAGGCACGCCGTCGCAACTACATCGGACCAAAGAAGAAAAAACTTGAACGCAAACAAGGTGATGGAAGCGACTCAAAGGTAACTCCGGAGGTAAAAGAAACCCCTCCAGAGAATCTTGTAAAGGAGGTTGAGCGGGAGCTTGACAGCCAGGCTAAAGGCCAGGCTGAAAAGAACAGTTGAACTAGTTTTGGGGACATTGTTTTGCGCTGGAGCCGCCCATGGTGTGTCCTTCAAGCCTGTTTATGTTTATCTTTTTGTCCGACAATGTGTAGCATCCTGGAAAGCAAACACATGTGTTTTCCCATTCCCAAATTAATCTCTCAAAGTTTTTGAGCAGGTGGGGCAAGCTAGGGGAGGGCGCCTTTAACATACCGCGCAAACACTTTTGATGGGGTTTCTGCAAAGCTGTTGAGAGTGACAGCTTTGAGATCAGTTTTGCTTTGACAACACTGATGTACGGCGCGAAAAGAGTCGCGATGTCCTTTGCGCTGCTAAGCTCATCAATGGACTTGCCAGAGCGCAGCGCCAATGCAATCAATAGACCACAAATACCTCATTGGCCCAAGGCAGTGGTGTGCAGGTTTCGGGTTCGTGCTACTGCTAGACTGCGCCACTCCTTCCCATGAAATATTCCGCCTTGGCCGTGGTCATTTCTTGCTTGGTGGCCAGTGGGGCGCTCAGCTAGAACTCGGGTTTGGTAAAGCTAGTTCTCAGAAACTCAACTTCTTTATTTAAATTATACGTTTCCCTTCCGAGCGCAGACTCACTGCCAAGTCTCTCAAACTGCTGCCCACAGGTTTTGGGGACGTCGACGATGCCTCGGCTCTGCACTTTCTGGAGATCTTTGCAGGAGCCAGGGCTTTCAAACTCAAGGTTAATGTGGCACTTTGGCTTAGATACTTCAACCCCCAGTGGTGACAAAGGAGAGGCGATTCTGGCTGAAGGGTGCCGTGCCCATGGACTAGAAAGCTACCAGTACGATGCGGCTTGTCAAACACTGGTCATGAAGCCACTGAAACCGGTTTATACCTGATTTGTTTTGTTCTGCAGATCGAGTATTCTTCACGCATGGATTTGCTGCGCGGTGTGGGGTTCATGGCAGCTTTGTTCCAGGCCTGAGCGCACTACTCTGAATCAACCAGTTTTGTCATTTCATTAGAGGGCTCCATTTTGGGGGCAAAGCAGTGACAAAAACTGACTAGTTTTTGGACGCCTCAAAGACCCTACATTCCCTTCACACGCTGTCTGCCAGCTCCGCCGCGTGATCCCCGGTGTGGGGGCTGCTTGGTTTGCTGTCCCCTGCTCAACTTGGGTGTTTATGCAGCTTTGTCGCAAGAGTTCTGCTGTGCGCATGTGGCACGCGGTCAAACAACAAATGACAAAGGGTAGAACTGCTCTTGAGGTCCCGTGGATCTACCCATCGAACGTGGCTCCGGGCGCGAGGTGGGACTAGAGTGGCTAAGAGGTCTGTTGGAAGAGGCCTTTCTTTTTGTGGGAGGAAACCTGGCATTTACATCAGTGGTCCAAGCCAACCGCCTGGCTAGGCGGCTGGCATTCTTGTCTTGACCCCAATAAATGATCATCAGCTGTCTCTAACACCAATCAGCCCGCTGAGGTTGGAGTATTGCTTCCGCAAAGGCATTGGCTATGTTGTGGAGAACCCGCAATCTTCATTGTTGTGGAGGTATTCATGCATCCAAGAGCTTTGGAAACAAAACTAGGGAGTTGAGACCATGTTGTTTTCCGTGGAGAACCCAAATGAAGACACTGTTCTTTACGATTATTTGTTCATGACCCTTCACCTGAGAAACTTCTCTATCGACATCGTGCAGTCAAGATCACTTGCTCCCTTGGAGAGCTTGGTGCCAGCAGCCCAAAGCCAGCGTCTCGCCAGCCTGGGAAGCTCTAAGAGCCACAAACCATCAACATTTAAAAAGGCCCCACCAAGTGCTGTCACAGGGGGGGGCCTTGAGAGGACTTGCTGGTGCCTTTTTTTTATCGCCAACGAAATGGAAGAACACCATTTCCATTGAAAAGAATTTCCTTTTGTATCGGCTTCCTCAGCCATATGTCTATCCTGTCAGGTGACTTTGTGGGGGACAGTACCATGGATGGCGGATCTTTCCAGGCACCTCTCACCCCTGCGTTCTGCGCAGCTCCGGCGTATCAAGAGCTTCTTCAAGCTTCAAGTTGCCAAGACATGGACAGACAAGAAGACCGGGAAGAAGAAATGCGTTAAGCCCTCAACTGTTTTTCGAAATCGTTTTCCAACAGCAACTTTTGAACACAATCGGACTCAAACAATCGCTTAGCGGCTGAGGCTGGGGGGAAAGACTTGAAGCACACCCAGGTTTACCCTGGCCGGTTAGGCCTGTTGGTAGGTGAGCTACTGGCAAAACAGTCGGAGCAAAACAAAGAGGCTCGGATCCCTAGTGATCAAGGCCTTGAATTTGATGATTCTGAGAATGACTCAGATGACAGTGCTCTAGCTGACCTTGTTGGACACGACCTTTAGAGTACACACAGGGTGGAAAAAGAAAAGTCTAACTGGTTTCTGCTTTCATAGCAAACGTGACGAAACGTGACGGGCTGCTGCATTGTTAGGTTAATTTAGATAGCAAACGTGACGAGCCGTGACGAACCGTGACGAGCCGTGCCGGGCAAATTGGCCCAAGACCATTTGGCGCTCTAACGATCTGTGCCGGTCATGGCGGAGCCACCAGGGCCGTCTGATGGCCGTGAGGGAAAGGGGGAGAGTGGATGGAAGGGGAAGTATGAAGGCTACAAAGGAAAGGGATGGGGGAAAGGAAAGGGTGGCTTGGATGGCAAGGGTTCGGAGAAGGGATTTGAAGCCTCCTACAAAGGAAAGTGCCTGGCGAAGGGGAAGGGCTTTGATGGGACTTGGGAAATGGGCCTGTGGAAGGGGAAGCTTGCCCACAAAGGAAAGGTTTTGGAGAAAGGAAAAAGTGTTGAAGATGTATGGGCCAAGGGTTTTGAGAAAGGAAAGCCCGTTTCTGAAGACTACAAAGGGAAGGGCTGGGACTGGGGAAAGGGTTGGGGAAAGGGCTGGGGCAAGAACAGTGTCAGCCCCACGGAGGAGGACAAACGTGTGACTCAGGCGCCCGATTCACGATCGCCGTGTGCACCTATCGATAATTTTGCAACTGTATACCTAAACTAAAGGTTCATGCCGGGTATCTGTTTTGGGGTTGATTTTCGACACCTGACGGAGGCGAGCGATGGCAACATGAATGTGGACAACCCGGAGCCGCCCAAAACCCATACACCCGGCTCAGGCAAGACTAGTCACATCCAGCCATACGGACGGTTTAGCCAACTCTGGCAGGCGAGGTGCAAGAGGCATCCTCCGGCAAGCTCGACCAGCCGCAGGCGCCGATCAAAAGAAACCTTAGTTCGGTCAGCATTGGGGGCATTGTGAAAGAAGGATCTGAGCGCACCAAGCGTGTGAAAGTCTTAGATCCTGAACAGAAACAAGCTATTGAGAACATGACGAGTGCTGCTGACTTGCCACGTGAAGAACGCCAACGTCAGTGGGCTGCTTTGGATCGTCGGTTAAAGGCGCCCGACCTACCACCTGGTTTGATAGAGAAATGGAACCACACGGATCGAAAGAGCAAGTTTCCTAGCTGAAACCTGAAGCGTATATGAACACCAAGTCGTTTTTAAAACACTCTTTGCCAAATGGCTGCCAATCAAGGTTTCAGTTCTTGAAATGCTTCATGCTGGACCCAACGATGCAAAGCATGGAAATCGAAGCTCGCTTTGTGGAGTGGTTCCCTCTGACTTTCCCACATTACTTTCCACCGCAGTCTACTTTCTACCACTAGGTTGTCACGTCGTGAGAACAAAGCGACTTACATCGAGAAACCGCTGGATGAGCTCGAGAAGCTGTATGACCCGGTTTGGCTGCAAGAGAAAATTGTGTCATGTTTGGCACTTAGCTCCCCAGGGTTGAATCTATAGCAAGTTTGCTTAGCATGTCAGCCCACCTGGAGGCCAAGCGGGCAAGCCACATCCACAGGACTGAGTGTTTTTCAACTTCTCACAGTCTCAGTCGGCAATTTCACACGCCCTCAATCCCAAGCCCTCCGTTTGTAATACCTGTGTCTCTCTACACCTAATCAGGACCCAGAGAACGGCAGGAAGAGGCTCTACAAAGTTTTCCTCAGCGTAGAGTCGACTCAAACTGAGCGCCAAGACCTTTCTACTGGTTTATCAGCTCGTGCCAACGTTGGCAACAACAAGGCGATGAGATCGGCCTTGACTGACATCACGCAAACAAAGATTTCTGGCATGGGTGACCCGTTGACCCGCGAGATTCCAGCCGTGACCGCCCCGGGTGGAGAAAACATAAATGGTGTACCGAAGAGGAAACCAAAGAAGGAGAAAAAGCCATTGACTGCCGATGAGCAGCGCCAGAAAGACTTTGATAAAGATGTCTTGAAGTTTCTCGCTAGCAATGGAACCTTGTACTTGGAGTGTGGGGTTATCAACCACATCGTGAGAAATATTCGTTGAGGCTTCAAGCCTTGGCGGCGAAAGCGAGAACGGCGGCCCACAAAATCACATCAAGTGGCATCAAGCATCAGGAGGTGCTCTTCCAGCTTTGCCAATCCAGTAGTCAAACAAGCCTTGGATTCACCCCGAGGCGGTCGTGAAATCTCTCGGCAACGCTCAGCAGGGCCTCAATGACGCCTACGCCAAGTCCAGCCCCCAAAAACTTTTGCCCTTCGCATGAGTTGCCCAATGTATTCACATATAAATATAAATATTCTTGCACAAGCTGATCACGCAAGAAAACTTTTGTAGTGAGAACCCACTGGAAACCAACGACTTGGATCGACGGAACAAGCTGTCTTTGCAACGTTTGTTGCATGCATTCTGTGTGTACGGCGATCGTGGGAGTAGCTATAGAAACCTAATTGAAGGAAAATCAACGATTCGGACCGATGGAAAAACTCCGTTTATACAAAACCCGTCGCACGCATTCCATGCGTCAGGTTGAATGAGAAGATCTTCAACTCCGTGCCCTTGGACACGCTCATCGCCGACATGAACGCGCACAAGAAGTACTTCGAGGACAGGAAACATTGCCTCACGACGTGGGCGTGTTTAGTTTAGTCTTGTGGCAGGACTGCGAGATCACTGTGAAGGACGCAGAGGGCATCGTGCAAACACATGAGAGACGTTTCAAACTTAGCTTGGCTTTAACTCTCTTCTAAAAAGGCCATAACCAGCCATTGTTTAACTATGTGTCTTGCTCTGCCCTTTGCTCAACAAGGCAAGTCTGCGGAGAAGAAGAAGCTGGAGGCCAAGCACAAACCGAAGGCAAAAAAAGCTGCCAAGGGCAAAGCCCAAGCTGAACCTGAGACTCTGCTTGACCCAGATGCGACACAGTATTTTGGGACAGGGTCTGATCAGGACTAAATCCAAGGTTGCCCAAACAAAGTTCGGGATATATTTTGTCGTAGAAGCCAAATGCAGGTGTAGATACTGGGGCTTGCGCTACAGGGTTTGTGAATCTGAAAAGGATTCAAAGGGTGTGGCAACTTCCTCACGCACCACCTGGCTTTGAGCTGTGAAAAAATTGCCCAGCCTTTCGAAGCTTTGCGAAGGGACAGTGCAAGCCACTGGGTCGATCCTCACATGCAGCGTGGCAACCATTGGAAACCAAATCTTGGATCTTCTGGTTCTTTGGCTCCTTTCACAGTTAGACTTATTTGCGCGTGTGTTTATCTGTCACAAACCCTATCTAGACGCCATTTCTTTTCTCAGTTTCGAACTCTTGAGAAAAGGCAACTAAAGTAGGCTCAATCCCAACGTGTCTCAATCAGCAAAACACCATATGGCTGCCTCCGCAACATGGGCGGTGAACATGCAAGAGACCGTTTCAGAGTTGGTGGGAGAGCTCTTTTCTTTGCTTGGCAAAGGGGAGGCGGGGTGCTTCAAAATTTCAGGAAAGGCGCAGTCGGAGCCAATGTTGGTCACAAGCGTCTGGATTTCCTTCCTCAGACCAGCGTGAAAGCGATCAAAGCGCTGGTTGGCTGGAGCCCCAAGGATTGGAAAAGTGTATGCACCTCTTTTTGGGAAACCGCCTAGGTAAAATAGGGACGCTACCACATGCTTTGGTCCCGCCACTTGGCTGTGCAAACAAAAGTCAGAGGGAGCCACCGTTTCCGGAAACATGTGTTGATGAGGCCTGAAATCTTAGATCTTGGGGAGCGGTTGAGTTCAACAGGAAAGTCGTGGGGTTGCGCCCGAGCTCTGGAGAAGTGGACTCTGGAACAACAATGGCGCATCTTGTCGGTTTCCGTCTGTTCGTCGTTTATTTGACCACATCTCCAACCTGGTGTTTCCATTTTGCCAAAGGTAAGAAGCTCCCTGAGCCTTTCGAATTTCCTCTCAAGGCGGTGCTGCCCTAAGTTGTCCACTGCGGATTTATGCTTGAAGTCTAAGTATCAGCGCTTAACTTGAGGAGTATCCAGATTCTCATGGCGAATCCGCGTCGAGAACCATCTCGCAGTGTATGCTTTGCCCTCACGAGATTGTGGGGTCGTTCCTTTCAGAAGGGGAAAGAGAAAGGATGACTGGTAATGTTTCTTGCATGCACATGTCTGCAAAAAAGTGCAATTCTAGCTTGAGTGTTCGTGCGCCGGCCACTCAGGATCTTCTTCAGTTTTGGGAGAGCGAGAAGGAGTCCCCGTGGTTCAAGAACCACCCAGTTCTGCCGGTTTCTAGTTGACACGGGGGTTGCACTTGCCCACTGCCCACAAAAAGTCAACTATCTTCCGTTTTTCTCACAAGGCTATGGACCTACGCTTTGCAATCCCTGTGAGATTCTATGGGGATGGGGCTGAGAGTCACCGAGACTAGTCCAAAACCTATATCAAGGAATGCAAAAAAGGAAGAACGGAATGCCAAAGGAAACAGTTGGCAAACGCTGAAATGTTCAACGCGACTGTCAGGAAAACAAAAGTACGAGATGCTGACATTGCAGTTCCCAGCGTCGCCCCACTCAGCCACATTGGACAACCGCATCTTGCGCTCTGGCCGCACAGCGTGCTGACATGGCCAACCCAAACGCGTGTCCGCGTGTCAAATTTAGTGGAGGATCGCTATCTTCAACGCTACATATGGCAAGACGGCCTCTCGCAACAAAGTTTTGGAAGTGGTGACATGGTCGCTGAATGCTTTGAGTTCTTTGGTGTGCAACTAAGAACTCGTGCGTGTGATTCCATCTAAAACTCTTGGTTCGAATCATTGGTAAAAAGCGGATCCAAGGTGCTGGAGTTTATCCTCGAGAAGACCCATGGGGCCAAGAGTTCTCTTCCACGTATATGCCCAGCAGGTTCTCTAGAGCAGGGACGCCTTTAGGGTCTGACGCTGAACCTTTCGTAGGCATTCTTGAGGGGATCCAATGTGACCAAGACTACTTACGTTTACTCTTCAACCTTGAAAGGGGGCCAAACAGGCAGCTTGTGTGTCACTACTGCG